TTTGCCCTTCGATGACAAACTTTTTCTGTTAAAAAATTAAATAAAACAAAAAAAAAATAAATAAATAAATAAATGAGAAAGAAAGACAGATTCTGAAGAGAGATAGATAGAGAGAGAAAATCCACAACCGTTAAATCATCCATCTTTCTTTCTCAAAAGAGAGTAAGGGAGTAAACAAGCAAAAAAAAAAAAGGAAAAATTATCGTTAATAAATATTAAAAAAAAATTTTTTTAAAAAAAACGGTTCCCGTGAAAACCGTTTTTTTTTTTTTTTCTTTTACCTCCTTCTGCCATTTTCCGACCAGCGGCCCACGGCCAGTTTTTTGAGATGTAAAAAGTGTGGGATCATCTTCCCTTTTGTAATCGCGAGGATCCATTTTGTCATTTGCAATATCTATGTGAATAACTTCACGTTGTTTGAGTTTTTCCGGGGGTAACTGATGAACCTGAAATACGAAATAAATGAAAAAAAATTTTTTTTAATTTTTAATTTTTTTTTCGGTTACCAACCAAAAATAATAATTATAATAAAAACCAATAAATAAATTAACCTGCTAAAGAAACACAAACCCAAACGCAAACCCCCCCCCCCTCGCTTTTTTTCATTCCCCCGCCCCCAAACCCCCCCGAACCCGAACGTTATAATTAATTATTTATTTATTTATTTTGTCCCCTTTTTTTCGGGTTTAAGGTAAAATAATATTTTTTTTTTTTTTTTTTTTTTTTTGAAACAGAAAAAAGATATTGTATTTACCTGAAAAAAAAAAAAAAAAAAAAAAAAAAAAAACACGAACTAAACATAAAATAAGGTTATTGCTTTTTAACGTAAACAAAATATAAAAAATTTTTGCGTTTGTCGTTCGACGTTACAAGATAAATAAAATAAAACTTATTTATTTTATTTTATTTATTTATTTATTTTATTAATATTTTCAGATTCTTCATTTAACAAAGTCGTCGTCGTCATCGTCATCGTTGACGTCGACGAATAATTTTTTTTAATTTTGTCAAAAAAAAAAAAAAAACTAAAAAGAAATCATTTAATAAATAAAAACTTTACTTTCGATCGACAAACGATTATTATTATTATCATCATTTTTATTGTTATTGTCGTCGTCATCAACATCATCATTATCAATAACGTAATGTAATCGTAATAAAAAAATAATCGGGTTTCCCTACCTTTCCCTCTCCCCCCCCCCCGATTAATTTAAATAAAATAAATGACCTTTGATCAATAGTTTCAACTAATTGCAACGAAAAAAAAAATTTTTTTTTTTTTTTAAAATTTTCACCGAATGAATTTTCACGGAAAAAATAACGAAAATATTATTATTATTATCATTATTATTATTATTATTATTATTATTATTATTATTATTATTATTATTATTATTATTATTATTATTATTTACCTTATTTATTTCGATTTCGAGAGTTCGTGTAATTTTAAACCGTAACTCAAATTTCTTGAAAAAAAAAAAATTAATTTCACCGGGAGGGAAAAAAATATATAAATAATAATAATAATAATTTTTTTCTGTTTTTCTCGTTTTTTCCAACGTTGAATTTTTAAAATGAAAATAACAAAAACTATTTCCGGTAATGAAAATTTCGTATTTTTATCGCGTAAAAAAAAAAATAATAATAATAAAGTTTTTTTAAATGGCTACAAACGGCTCACTTGTTTGTAAAACAATCAACTTCGATTCTATTAATAACGGTAACAACAACAACAACAACAATAACAATAATAATAATAGTAATAGTAGTAGTAGTAGTAGTAGTATTAGTAATAAAAAAGCGATTTAAATTAGTTGTTAAACCAACCCCCTCCCACAAAAAAAAAAAAAAAACAAAAACAAAAACGCAATCAATGCAAATATTATTATTATTATTATTATTATTTTTTTTTTGTTTCGTAACAAGCCAACTTACATTTTCCTGATATCCTGAATCGTTAATATGAAACGATTCTATCATAATTAAAAAATTTTCTTTCATATATCCTGGATTCTGATATAATTAATATTTTTTATTTTTTTATATATTTTTTTTTTTTTTTTTTTTTAAATATTTTTTTTACATAATTTTTTTAAATATTTTTTTAAATAATTTTTTTTTCCCCCCCAAATATGAATTGATGATGACATTGGTTGCATGAAACAAAAAAAAAAAAAAAAAAAAAAAAACCAATGAAAAAAAATTAATTTACGGCCCAATATATTATTTTCCCCTTTTTTTTTTTTTCTTGTCTTTTATCTTGATGGCGTTGACGTTCAAAAAAAAAAAAAAAAAAAACATGTTTCCATCATCGGTTGTCCATTTCCACAGGAAAAATCTGTAACAATGTCTTTTAACATTTTTTTTTTTTTTTTTTTTTTTTTTTGGCGGTTGTTGGGAGGAAAAGGGGAGAGGGACACTTACATTTTCATTTTGGCCATCGTCTATTAAATGATGAGATTCAATTGTTAAGTGAAATTTTTCCTTCATATACAAGGGATTCTGAAAAATTTAAGTTTTGTTTGTTTGTTTGTTTGTTTGTAAGGAGCAAAAGGAAAAGGAAAATGGATGGGTGGTTAAGGGGGTTAGGGTGAGTACGAAATTATTTTGTCAAAAAAAAAAAAAAAAAAAATTGTAAAAATTAATAATAATAACCTTGATTTCTTTTTTTTTTAATCGCTTAAAAAAAAAAAAAAAAAAATTGGATAAAATCAAGTTTGATAAACTCTTGATCGCAACCCTGAATTGGGTTTTCTTTCTTTCTTTTTTTTTTTTTATTTTTATTTATTTTTTAACAAGGGGAAAAAGAAATAAAATTAATTATAAGATTTAGAAATAGGGTGAGCACAATTAAATAACTAGAATAAAAATGATATTAATAAAAAAAAAAAAAATAATAAAAATAAAAAAAATTTAATAGAAAAAAATAATAAAAATAAAATGAAGAAAAAAAAAAGAAAAATACTTACAGTTATCACTGTTCGACAATAAGGATAAGCATTCCATGCTTCTTCATGTATTTCTAATGAGCCCTTTGGACAAAGCAATCGAACAAATGCTGGAACTTTGCTGTAAATAAAAACGAGTACATATAAGCCTTTTCTGTTTTTATCAAATTCAAAACTTCAATAAATAAATAACTTATTGCAATAATTGCCTATTTTTTTATTTACAAACAAAAAAAAAAAAAAAAAAAACTCAATTAACAATCTATGTGTCAAAATTTAAATAAAAATTTAAATTTCAAATTTGATGACATAAATATCAAACTCACCTTGCTATGTGATAAATCTTATAAGTATATTGTCCTTTAGAGTATTGACCACTGAGTAAAGGGTGGTTGTCGAAGGGCTCATTTTTGAGCACTTCGATACCCTCCCCCCCACCAGTGTTTTCTTTGGAAGCTTCTGCCACACAAAATAATTGTGCAACATGATACTAAAAAGAGAAAGGAAAAAAAATTGTTTGTTTTTTTTTTGTAATGCATAAAATTTTTATCGATAATTTGAATAATTTTTGTTTTGTTTTTACAATAGTAATAATAATAATATTATTAGTGAGTCAAAAATACATCAAAATAAAATTAATGAATTTTTTTTTTTTTTTTTTAAATAAGCAACATAGGGGTTTAATTTAAATTTTAATCGAAATAATTTCTTTAATAGATTTCGTAACTTACCTCCTCAACAGATAGAGGTAGTGTAACTCGGCTGAAACAATTAAATTAAATATATAAGTTTTGTGTCAGATTAAACTGATTTTATTGGTTTTTTTAAATTCATATTAATTTTACAATAAATAATATTTGTAAGCAATCAATAATCAAAACAAAAAAAAAAAAATTGACATATTTATATTTAAATAAATATTTATTAAAATATGTTGTAATTTTATTATAAAATGACTTAATCAGCTATTAAAGAGTACATTAAGGGTCTGAAAATTAAAAATGATTTCCTATTGGAAGGCGTTTAAATGAGAAAAATAACAGATCAATATGAGTGAACTAACCAAAGCCTGTCAATGTAAAACCTTCAAAATTTTTTATGATATTGCATCCAATACGTTTTCAATAAATATGGTGACATGTAAGGTTATAAAAACAGGGTTATATTTACAAAACATTGAATTCGAGGCCTTGTGGCAGGTAAAAACTGCGCAACCTAATGAAATTTAACGAACAAAAACAGGATAGTACCAGAAAGAAACCTTGACCTAACAACAACCTTTTTTAAGCACTATGCACCCAAAATTTGACAGATTAATAAAAATATTTAAGGTTTCTTAAGTCAAATATATCTGCATGGCAAAAACTTGGTTAGTGTTATCATAAAAAAAAAAAAAAAAAAAATTCCTTGCAAGCCGTCAACAATATAAAAATAATAAAAATAAGTAAATCAATCGATCCGTATTTTGTTCGTCATACGTGTAAATAATTGCGAGTTTCACGATTTATAAAAAATTACAAATAAACAAACAAATTAATGGTGAAAATAAATTTTTTTTACTTACTATTCTTTAATCAGCATTTTTGATAGAGCTTACACATGGGATGTACAGAGAGTACTAGTGTTAATCTCAATGACGTCAATCTGCGTCATCCGTTTCTAAACCTTTGCAGAGTGATTCACAAACCGGTTTTAAAACAACGCGTAACGTTTTGAAACATTTTTAAAGCGGTTTTTTGTGTAACGTATTTTTGTGAGAATGTTAGTTTTTCGATTGTTTAAATTTTAAACGTGGCAATCCATGGAAAAAATCAAAGTGATGTAAGGTATTTTCTATTTTTCATAATTACCGTATATAAAATAATTGTTTTGTGGCTTGACATTTCTTACCTAAGCTAATTAAATACTAATTTATCACTTATTAAAATTGGTATTAAATAACACTGACACTCATATAAAATCATGAATATATATATATACATATATATTGACATAAAAAATTTGCTATTTGCCTAGTTGTCAGTCACAAATTATTTAGCAGTGACAGATTGAACTATAATAATAAAATATATATATATAATTGAGCCCACAAAATAACAAGGGAAATTAAAATTAATATTGAACTTAACATGATAGACACAAAAGTCTTGTAAAAAAAAAAACCAATTAATTATTAAATAACTTGTATTTTTCATCAATCTGTCACTGTTTTGAGTATTACTTTAATTCTAATTTATATTTTTTTACAATTACTTAAATAAAATGGAGTTAAATAAACAAAAAATATAGGCTAGCATAGGTTCTAATAATTGTAACAGAAAAAAAAACCAAAATGAAAATTTTTCTTTTAATCGAATCTCAAAAAATTACAGGTATAAAGAAATAATTAATTATACAAAATATTTTAAGAACCTATGTCTAGCATAATGATGTGAAAATAATATTGTACATTAAAACTAACAAATGTTTATATATATATATATATATACATAAATATATATATATGTATAATTATAACAAATATATTTTTCTACAACACATATTCAACAGTTAATTTTTATTTTTATTTATTTATTTATTTTTTTTTTGGAGGGCGTAGATGTAAGGAAAATTTTAAATACATTTAAAATAATAATAATAATAATAATACTAAATTCACAATAAGTAATTAAAAATAATAATAATAATAATAATAGTAATTTCAAAAAAAAAAAAAAAAAACAAAATGTTTAAAATTTTATGTAAAAAAATTTTTTATTTTTATTTTTTATTCATTATCATTACTATTATTTTTTTTTTATTTTTCTCTCATTCAAAATTTTAATAAAATAACATATATATATATATATAAAAATAATTATAATTTTGAAAAAATTTTTATTTTTTAAAATATAAAATAGGCAAACCTCAAACTATTACATAATTAATAACTGGAATTTGTTCCCATTTATATTATCCAGCTTTTAAAATCTATTAAAACTAAAAAAATTTATGTATCGAAATATCCAACAACTACACCTCAGCCATTTTTTTTTCTTTTTTTAAGTAATTTCTTATATATTATCATATCATTAATCATAAAATAACATAATTATTATTATTATTATTAATAAAAAATAATTATATATATTCAACATTCAAAAATTTTGTTTTTTTAGTTAAAATTTTCATCGAAAGGCAAATATT